AAACATTCAGAAAGAGTGAGGTTTTCTCTTTCTAAATTATCTTATTTCGAACAGATCCATTGAACCTGTAGGATATTACGGAATCTAAAAAAAATTTTGGTGCAAAACTTATCCAACCTAATATATGTCAGCGTCATCACCTTCAGATAATGCAAATCCACTAGCTTAGTGCAAGAGGCAAATTAATTTTCACCTTGCTTCACCCTTTGATAATATTTACCTCGGATTTGTGTCTTGAACCGTGCATTTGCATTATCTCAAAGTAAATGTTACCTTGAGGTATGCTTGAATACGGGTTAGTGGCTCAAGGGTTCACATACCTTGAGATACAGGCAAAATTGAGTTCACCTGTGAAGGCGGGTATGTCAGGGTTTCTACTTCAAAGTATGTTGTTGACGACTCCAGGTATGATGATGCATCTGTGCCTGTCACGCGTTTGGGGGGAACGCGTATAAGCAGCATCTTCCTGTGTTGTTTTAAAGAGAACTTTTGCACAGGTTGGAGATGGGCGATGGAACAGAAACACCATTCTTGTCAGAAGCAGAGATTAATACGCATCTCGAAGATTTGGCTCAAGCAGGTTGGATATTTATGTCAAAGTATATGAGTCGAAAGCGTACCATTTAGATGGCTCCGACTTTATGGTCGATAACGATCTCCTCACTCAAGCAATGAATCTAGGCTTTTCCGAAGAGGAGGCTAAATCTGCACTGAAAATGACCAGGTACGTTCTTCTTCTTCTACTACCTACACATCATTCCTTCATATTTAGGAACGACCTAGAGGCTGCTCTTCAACAACTATTCTCTAAAGCCGATGAAAAAGCAAGTAGTAGTAAACAAACCAAGTAACAGTTTTCTGTGCTCACTCAAGTTGTACTACATGCCTTTATATACATGTAACCATTTTTTTGTACACTTGTGATAATTTTCTAGCAACATTGAATTCGTATTGTTTAGGTCTGAAAACCTCATTAATTTATTGAAGGTAATGCTGGTATTGGTCATCTTTCGAAATTTCGGTCTGCATGTGCCCTGCCTTTATAAAGTAATTTTATCAGATTTCTGCACTGATATTTTATCCATTGATTCATGCAGCTCTGTCTACTTACGTCATAAATCTCTGCTTCCTCTATTCACACTGAAGCGGCGTCCGAAAAATTCTTCGACCTGTGGATTTTTGTCTCTATTGGGCCTTATTGTCGCGCTCAACAAGATTACGGGTTACAAATCGTTTTAACACATTGACGACGCTCAATGACTACTACGTGACCAAGGCTTGAACTTCGTTGAAATGACGAACTATCTTGGTA